GTTGTATGTATTTATATATATATATATAAATGTATACATATGAAACGGTCAGACCACCGCCGTACGGACGTTATTGTCTTTGCTCGTTATTATTATTATTATAGCTTTCGGCTTCTTGTACGGTAGTGCGGCGACGGCGGCTGTTTTTCAAAAATGTCATTATTATTATTATTATTATAAGTACTACTATATTGTTATTGTTATTGCACGCTATTAGTGTTGGGTTTTTTAAATTTATCTCCGTCTCTCTCTCCTCGCGCACACATTAAGCCACATTCGTATATTACATTATTATCATCGTTCACTTTCCACTCGAGAAGGTACACCGCTGTATGTATATGTTTTAAAATCCCATAATAATATAAGTACTTGGGTAGCTACACACATTCGTATATAACTACACTCACTGCCTTAAATATGACATAGGCAAATAGGTACACTGCACATATTAACATATTATGCGCCTTCGGCATTCGCCTATCATTTTGTCACTCTCTAACCTATTGGATACAACCTAAGTGTACCGGATGTGGTCACAGAAACGCAACTGCTGGTTACACGTTTTTTGCGGTGCAGTGTTTATAATATTATAATGTATTAATCACTTTGGTTTTTAAGTAGGCACCTACTGTTAGCAATCTTCATCGTACAAATGACTGCCGCCGCCACCGCCATCTCGAAGTGACCGGACAATACAGTATGGGATATGTCATAAAGTAATAAAACAATGTGCTCGTACGCATGAGTGTAAAGCAATAATATCATATTATATTATTTTCTCTAGTGGTTCAGAACAATTAAACACAACGGCGAATGCCTCGATGGCGATATTGACTTAAACACAAAAATACATCACTCACTTTGGACCATCGATCTTTTGGTTCACCACTTATAGTAAAGTTATTTATAATATTATATTTTCCTATATTATTATTCCACGTATAGGAAGCTAATCCGGTTAGATAATTAATTTACATATAATATATACACATATATATCGAGTATTAGGTATACTATAACATAATTCGGCGTGAACAATTTATTTTTATCTACTATATATTATCTATTTTAATTTTTTTTTAATCAAGTACTTAAAATGATACATACCTACCTATAAATATATTTATTATATCAATTATCATTATCATCGTCATCAATAAATATGAATAATAATGATTGTATGTTTGTTTTATTAGTATTCGGTAATTCTATAAACTACTGCAAATGTCTTCAAAATTCTGCATATATTCACATATAAATTTAGTTGTTGGATAATTATTGCAGATGCTATTTTGTTGATTTTTCAAATCTATGTTCGATTATGTGGTAAATTTTGGTTCAAAAATACATTTTATTAGATCACGAAAATCAAATACATTTTTTTAATATTTAGGGTTGTATTAGTTACAAAATAATTAAAATAGTTATTACGTATAACCAATGGTAATCAGAAGTGAATAAATGAAATAGAAAAAAAACTTTTTTATAATCTATTTATACACATATAAAAGGTTTTGTATTAACCTTACTGACAAAAGATCAATTTAGATCTTAATTTATTAACCAAATGATAGAGACTGTGAATTTTAACAGAACCTCTTCATTTCATAATATATAAATATGTACGCTAAGAAAGGATAATGTAAAATTTGAAGTAAAAAAGAAGCTCATTCAAGGATTTTTAGACTTACAAAAAACGGTTATTATTTAATTTAAATAGGATTACCATTAGCTACAAAAAATAATACAATTTTTATAATCGGAAACATTTATACCTTAAAATCAAACTATGTACATAATATTTATAGAATATAGTATTTAAATATATAATATGAGGTAATATAATGTACATTATTGGTTTATTACTTGTTACAAATTCGACATCCTCAAGCATAAATATATTATGTATAAATAGGTACGTCCATCGATTATAAATTATAATTTAATATAATTGTATGTAGGTACATACATATATATATAGTATACACTACAAAGGCACAGTATACCTGCACTCTATGATAAGCACAGAATAAGTAGATACAAAAAAGGTAAAGATACCTTTATCCGAATAAATTTTAAAATATTACATTCATGACATTATTATATATATATATATATATTCTTATATAAGCTGCTATTATCAATTCTTTAATATTATAATATTACTTATAGGAGTTATTCAATAATCTTTGAAAAAATAGCTAAAAGTAATATAAAAATTTGGTTCTTATTACTAGTATATTATAATTTTTATTTTTCATATTTTGCAAATTCAGCTCTAATTTCCTTTTAAGTGCATATTTTGTTATATTTGTATTTTAAATTTATATTTTACATATTTTATTTAAAAAAATTTTTTCAGTATAATAATTATAATATGTGACATAGAAAATAATATTTTATACGTAGGTACTATATAGGTACAATATTTAATATTCATTTTCTAGAAATTGAAAAAATAGATTAAAATTATTAAACATAAATAATATTAAATAACTTATCTACCATGCGTTTTCCTAATTATTTGTGAGTTGTAAAAAACATAAACAGTTTATAAGGAATACGCCGAATACAATCAGCTAATGTCAATTCGTCTGTTAATAAAGTATATTTTTTTGTCTGGCGTTAATATATAGTTACTATAGTTAGTATAATATTCTAGTTTAGCTACAGTTTTTTTTTTTTTGTGAAAATTAAATTATAAATGCTTTATTTAGTAATAAATACATTTATAATTTTTGATTTTTCAATGAAAAATAAAATATTTTTAAGAGTATATTTTTTAGAATAAGAAGTCCCTAGTCCTACTTTTAGTACCTATAGGTATGATATATTATAAATATTAAACATAATAATATAATATACATTATATATAACATAGGATACATATTATGTAAGCAATTATGTAAATATATTATGTACATATATATTTATGGAATTTACCAGCTTATCACAGTAATAATTAAAATATGTATATATATATATATATATATTTAAGTATATTTATTATTTTTGATATAGCATCATATAGTATCGTAGTAAAAAATGGTTAAATTGAGTTTTATCTTTATGTTAACAGAATTTGAAAAATAAAAATAGATAAATTTGTCAGTGAACTGGAATATGATTGGGTTTTACTGTTAGTATAAAGGTTAATAGGTTTCATTTTCGATACGGTCAGAATTTTAAATCTAACTGCAGTTAAAATATCTTAAAAAAAAAGCGTTATTCATAATCTGGTAAAACAATTTTTAATATTTTATACTAACTGTCGTGACTGGGTGGATATATAGTTATTTGAATAATTCAATTATATTATTCTTTTTGATACGATTTGCAGAACGTTAATTATTATAAAGTTAAATAGGTATATTTATATAGATTTTCCAGATCAATGCATCTGTAGGCATTTAATAGAATAAAATACAAGTAAAACTCAAAAATAATTTTTATATAAGCCACGAGATTGTTTGCATATAGTTTATTATATATATATGTCAATTTTTGAATATAAGGTGTATAATGTAGGTATATTCATTAATCATTAGAACTAATACTTGTTTGAATTTTCGAATTTTTTAAAAACATAATTTGTTTTTTTCTGCATTATTAGCTGGTGTGATAATAATAGCAATATTTATCAGAGATTTTTTTGAGATACGGTAGGCTGATAAGTTTTGCGATTTCGGTGATGGATTTTTATGAGCGGAAGATGGAATAAGGCGCTTATTGTCTTCAACTGATGGTGGCTATATATCGTTAACTATTATAATTTTTATTAGCACTGTTTAAGTTTTTTGAATATTATAATGTTGGATATTATATTATATAATGTCTTTGGAAATAGATCAGGATCCCTACAATTTTCATGCTCACCTATTCGATTACTATATTCATTAAATAAGAAATTAAATCGAAAATATCTCTTGGTAAATTATTAATTTATAGCCAACAAAATGTGCCAGTCTATTAGTCTGCAATTATCTCTTGTAAAAGATATGTAAATAACTACTTGGAGATTTTGTTATACTATATATTATATACACATATACTATTTATGAAGGTAGATGATATGAAATATATATAAAATATTATGCATATATTACAGTGGCGTAACTGGGAAAAAACTAGGGGGGGTAAAATAATTTATTTACCATAATCAAAACTTTGTATATTTATATAGTTGGATTATCTGGGGAGGAAATGGTAACTTAGCTCGTCACAAAATTGTCAGTGCGGAAAATTCCCCCTGTCCCTCAAAATTACGCTTCTGTTAATATATATATATATTTATACACTGTATCCGCTCTAACAAATATACATATATATTATCATATTATAGTCATGTATAGTATAATAAATATTAAATTCAATAATATAATACATTAGGAATCATTAATTAATATTTTTGGAGGGTTAAAGGGATTTAGAAAGTTTTCGGGGTCTATAAAAATTGAATGTGCATGTTTATCCAAAAAAGATAAAGTAAAAATACTAAAATCAATTCACCACGAAAAAAAATAAATAAATAAATAAACAAACAAAAATACATTTCCAGTCTGCGAGATAGATAAAGTTCATATTAACACGCCGCTTGAATACCTACAGGGTGCATAATATTAGGTATTACCTATATTGCAGCTATAAGTATACACGCGTGCCAAACACGTTACACCAAATATCAGGTAAACTATTGTACATTATATATGTACCTACCACATCATTTTAAGTATAAATACGTATGGTTGCAATAAATATTGAAATTTGACGAAGCCGCATATAAATCCGGGCGGCTGCGACGGATTACTCTCGCTCAACGTGCCCAATGTGGGCGTGTATATCGTATTAGAAAATGGCGAACAGTCGGCCAACGGGGAGCCGAACGACGGACCGCCCACGACGGGGGGGCGTCGTTTTGGACGGCGACGACGACGACGGTGGCGGCGGCGGCAGCGTCGACGGCTGCGGGCCCGGTACCGGCATAAACCGGTCAGTGTCGATCGCACGCCGTCGTAACCGCCGCCACCGCGTGACTCGAAAGAATTTCGCCGCGACGTTCCGTACCGCAATTTTTCTCCTATTTATGCGCCGCGCGAAACGCGTCGTTTCCCGCGGCACACGCTCGACAAGGGTAGTATTGTTTTATGGTATATTTTAAAGACGCGTGCCGTACAAATAACTCTACCTGCAATAATCGCCTAATATTCGATCTACGCATATCTAATATATCATTATAATCGATTCCGTTTTAATGACACAGTTTAGCGGAAGAAAACGACACTTTGACGATTTAATATCGTAAACACACAATACAATGTAATACCTAATTGTATTGCACTCGCACGATATCATGATTTCACGTTATAAACATCAACACGACCACCGTATACAGTGATAAACCAATGATTTACCAATAGGCGAATACCTACTGCGACAACAAACTGCATTATATCAGTATACGGGCGAAACACACACACACACGTACACGGGTAGGCACACGACGCGACGAGTGCGCGACCGACCCGAATCGAAACTGCAGTATAGAGTTATAAGTCCTGCATAATATACCCAAACGCGCGCGCGCGCGTGTGTGTGTGCATCGCTTTTTATCGATAATATATAATATTATATTATATTATTGTATCGGTGAGCTGTATTATAATTATGCGGCCGCCGCCGGCGGCGCCGCCAGCGTCATCGGCGATCGCGACGACCGCGACTCCGGACTGCAGTGACGGCCGCGACCCGCAGCATTTGAACACGGCGACCGCGACGACGATGGTCACGTGATTAGGATGCCGCGGCCGTGCAGAGAGACGTACGGCGACCAAAAGCCGCCGTACAGTTACATATCGCTGACGGCCATGGCCATATGGAGCGCTCCCGAGAAGAAGCTACCGCTGTCCGACATCTACAAGTTCATCAGCGACCGGTTTCCTTATTACCGGAAAAACACGCAAAGGTCAGTAACATCCGGCCCGCGTTAACATAAGTTATAGGAGCTGGTATACCTTTGTCCTTTACCTATACGTATATGACATTGCAGAGCCAACCGTTGTGTACCTCATAGGCGGTGCTCGCGCCAACGCGTATATCGTATACCTATAGCTATCTATACATAGTATTTTACCTATATAGGTGCATCGCGTCGTAGACTTTTTTTGGACACAGTAAGTCTGCATGCGTACCTGTATTATGTATATTGAACATAACGTGGGTATATTGTATTGCATCTATACGCGCTAATGTCTGAGTTATGGTCTGTACACCTCGACAATATACATCCATCACATATACGACTGTTATAATATATTATATCGATGCGTTTGTACTCGATGGTGATGCGTATATTATACAGACGCCAAAACCATATACGCGTGCGTGCATAATTGCTGCAAGAATACAATGCGGTGGTGTTCAATTCCGAAATCGATTTATTATTGGGTCACCCAATTTCCGTATTTAACCTCTCATCGTCCGTCCCCCTCTTAAAAAAAAAAACAAAAAAAAAAACACGCAGCCTTAATTATATGCCCCACTGATCATATTGTTTCAATTTAGTTACAATAAGTTATAAACGTATATATAAATATACAAATCACCCTTCTCTTTTATCGGTGTATATAAAAAAATATCTGAAATACGTAAATAGCACTTGACCGATATTAATACCTGGAGCGTATACAGATCCGCGACGGGCACCCAAAATATATTAAACGTGTAACAGGTTATAGGTTAAAGATTTTTTCAATTTTGATCAAGTTATACAATCTCATATGTATATTTGTACAAACGTACGTTCATTTGGTTTTTGAGTAGGTTGTAATAAAAACATTTATGTATTTTTGTATTAAAGTGGATTATTGAATACTTAGGTATAGGAAACAGTTAATTTAACTCTTAAAAATATCAACATTTTTATATAAATAAGAGAATATTATGTAGGTACAGATTATATAGTTAACTAATAGTTTATCATAATATTTAAAGTATTTTAAAACGAATGTATATACTTTATATGTACATATTTACATTAACTATCTATATTCTATAATGCATGGTTAGTGATTACTATTTGTTATTTGATTTTTTTTTTCCAAAAAAAACCAAACTTAGTTAATTACGTTACGTATTATCATTTTTTTTTGTCTTAATTCAACACACAAGTTGAAAAATTAATATTTATATAGCTTAAAACAAATAACAATTATGCTAAGTCATTATTCATTTAGTGAATATATTGTTCAACAGAGGCAGGAAAAAATATGATAAAAACATGAAATGTATCAATTTTATACCTACCGTAATAGACATTAGACAGTATATAGAGTATATATTGCAAAGGTCTTTAACCTTATTAGACTCGTGACCTATTTTAATAATTATTTATTTTTTTTTAGATCTTATTGATAAACATTATTTTATATATTTATAAAATTAGACCAATTTTAATTAATAATTATTATTATTACTATAAACATGTTCATTTTATTTGATTCCTACGATTGAATAAAAAAATATTTTTCCTATATTATTTAGTTTTTAATTATTAAAACTATAGGGAAGTTTTGCAATTTTCAATTCAATTCTGAAGCTTACGTTACCCACTTTAGGTTGAAAATCATTGTCGGTATAAACTTTTTAATAATAAATATTATATTATCATTGAATGTCAAATATAGGTAAATTTTTAATCACTAGCTGTCTGTTTAAATAAACTTATTTAATGTTTTATATTAAGTATAATATGTATTATGATAAATTAGCTTATTTTTTCAATCTTTTCCATTATCCAATGAGCTATTATTATTCGTAATTTTATAGAATTTGAGATTGTATTTAATATTTCAACTTTTTTTTTTTTTTTACAACACACTAAAAGTTAGGATGGCACATACAAGTATTTTATTTTTCACATGGCACACGTTGTACTGCACAATAGAATACATTATTTTAGGTCCTGTGGTTTTTTTCAAAGTTACTTTGAAAAATTTTCCATATTGTATATATACATCTATATGTGGTGCCTATATAAATCTATTTTATTGGCTATTAATAAAAGCTAATATTAACAAGTCCTTTAATAGTTTAATGTGACAGTGTTTTTCTGTTATTTGTTTTTGTGAATAGTGAATATTATATAATACAGAAAATAGTATTGACAGTACTAAATACATTTGATTATATATATATTATATACATACATATATATTATATACATACATATATATCTTGAAAGTTTATATACATCTCGTATATATAATTAATTCTCTGTTTATTGATACTTTAAGAATTTTGGCATACTTACATAGTATATATAATATATTATACTATAAACGAATATTGTATATTATACGCATAAACACGTGCAGTTTGAACAGAGTATAATAGGTTCGCCAGACATTGGTGCGATCACCCATCCGAGTTGACGACGAGTGCGCACATTCGTGTGGAACGAATTGATCGCTGCGTGACAACAAAAATATACATATTATGTATTTGCGTATTGTATATTATATACTTACGTAAGTTTTAGCCTATAATATATATGCATTATAGGTACATGAGTAAGGTTAGGTTAGGTTAGGTAAGGTACACTGCATCATAATAGATATAATGTATTTATATATGAATTTAGTACAAATTATAAAACTTTCAAACTAAATCGTGTTTATATATATATATATATGAATACATCAGTAGATATGCAAGCATTATTTTTTTTACGTTTATTTTTTTATATAGGCATGTATGTATAATAATTTATATATATTTCTATGATTTATTAACATTCCATTAATCTCTTGTTAACTTTATTTTAGTACACTAATGTATTTATATACTCGTATTATTATGTGTATTATGTACGTATACCCCATCTGTAAATCAATTGCTTCGAAATTAATAATTAGTTAATTAGCAATTATAGCTGAACAAATTTTTTTTCATTATAATAAGATATTTACTTAACAGTTTATTTATATATATATATAATATATATAAATAAAACATATTTATCCCTTTCAATACAAAATCTATGTTAATAACTACTTTCATATATATATTATATTATATTATATATTTATTATTATATATATATGAAAGTAGTTATTAACATGGATTTTGTATTGAAAGGGATAAATATATTTTTCGCTATGTCAAAAAACTTGCATGTAAAAATATGATACAAGAGCTATCGTTTAAGTATTGTTTTATGCAATATAAAATTGATAAATAGCAATACATATTTATACTTACATGGTCAAATATAACTAAATACAATTTTTTCTATAGTTATACCTACTTATATATTCATAGTTGAACATCACACATTTTTCGATTTTTCGTACTAAACACTGAATATTTAAGTATTGATTGTGAATTATTATTTTTTATATTGATCAAGGCTTTTTATTACTAGTCCTCATAGTCATTGTGGCTTATTGAATTAAACATTTAAGGGTTTCCGTTTTCGTTTGAAATTGTATTATCCTGTAATATAGATATCAATACGGGGAAATGAGAAACATAGATCTTTTGTTACACTATATGTGCTACGTGACTATTATATTGTATATATGCATAATAATTTCGTCTGTAGATATTTATATATTATATTTAAGTGTTTTAGTGTTTTTCTATTGTAGGTGGGTAAAGAGACTTTTCATTTGTCTATGGGAAGCAACTTTATAAATTCATCTTAACAGTATATATATATATAATATAAATCTATGGAATTATTAAATATTGTCTTTAGTCTTAAAATTTTAACATTATACAATGTATAATACTTAAATATTCATAAATATTATATTATAATAATACCCTACTTTCTCTGTAAAACACATAATCTTTGAATATTTACGATACTTATCAACACGCTTGAACAAATTCAGACGTTAACATCATTACACCCAAAAAATAAAAAATTATTAAGTTCCTCAAAACAGCCGATCTTATAACAAACATTTAAAACGACTCATTAAATATTTAATACCATAATTATTGTATCATAATATAATTTTGAAAATCTTCACAATTATTTACAACTTTAGACTACGATATGCTGATAAGCCGTATATATTTGAAGCATTAGAAATAAAATAATATAATAATAAATTGTGCTTTCAAATTTATACTTATAATAATGTAGAATATTACATATTATATAGGTCCTATTTGTAAGTCATCTACATAAATTTTAAAAACTATGAATATATATAAATAGTGTATTATATTATTATTATTATGTATATAATAAATTAGGATAGTGATTTAGTTATATGCTTAAAATGATTCTATATAATTAAGTAGATTAACTATATATGTATACAGTATACATTATATATAATAAGATTTATAGAACATGAAACTTTGATACACGTAGTATTATAACAATTTAATCAAAATAATTCTTGTTTTTTCTATGTGCAGTATATGATCATTTTAATAATTCCCTGCACATTTTTTATGTAACATCCTATAAAAAATAAAAATAAATATGATAGAACAAATTAATTGAATTTTTAGTTTAATAAAATTAATATAATTTTCTATAAAATAACTAAATAATTATTAAAAAAGTTAAGTATTATTTTATAAATAATACTTAAATTTTAAGATACATTATAATATATTAAATAAACATATAGTCTATATAGTTTTTTAATTATATTGTCATATTAAATAATATTATATTAGTGTCAAAATGTATGTTATAATAAAATATAATAAAATATATTATTATTATTATGTATTTATCTATCGAAAGTAAATTAATTATTTTTAATTTATTGGAAAACAATTACATACTATTTTCTTACAACCTAGATAATAATCAAATAGCAATCTATAAAATCTACTCTACTTTTATTCTTTTTATAATTTCTGAAATATAATTTTTATTTTTTATATACATTTTATTTCAATAAAATTTTAAATATAGATATATAATATAGGTATTATACATCCCATATCATAACAAGTGATTCAAATGTATAATTATTTCAAGGTATGCCTGTGGTTATGATTTTATTCAATTAAATGAAAGTTTATTTGATCACAAATGACATATCAAATATATATTTTATATCATATAAAATATATATACGTAACGTATACTTATAAATTTATAATTTGAAATGTGAATTCACTATCCTGTATGAAACATAATATAACAAGTAGATATGACATTATGTGGAAAAAAAGTTTTTACATAAGCATATAATAAAATATTAAGTGCCAATTACATATTTTATAGAAGTTGTTTTGAAAAATCCTAATTAAATTATATTACAATGATTTTTATAGATTATACCTAAAAGAATTAAGTATAGACATATAGGTTTGTTTGAATAATCTATTTTATACGCTATAATATAGTTTTATTTGAAAAATGTTACTTTGGTATAGATTATGTAATATCATACTAATTAGAATATAAAATCCATCAATTTCAATTATATTTTAATCTGACTTTAACTTGCAATTTTGCAAGGTTTTATCAATTCTGTTGTATTGTGTACACTGTACAGGTATATATTATATAGTTATATTTTCATTCTTCGAACTTGTAATATATTGTCTAATATACTTAAAAAATACATACGAGGACGAGGCATATTCAAAAATTAAGGGCCGTTTTATCATAAACGAAATTATAATAATAAGAAACAGGTTTTATATCTCATTTAGTTTCCTACAAACCTATACTTTACTTTTTAACATAATCGCCGTTCATTTTTAAGCATTTTTCGTACTATTTCACATTTCACCAGCTTCTTTAATCCCTCTGTATAAAAGCTTTCCGCCTGACAGTTGAAGTAGTTGACAACGGCGCTCTTGAATTTTTTGTCATTCTCAAAACGTTGTCACCAAGTTATTGTTTGAAGTGCAAGAAGAGGAAATAGTCACTAGAAACTAGGTCAAGACTGTACAGTGGGTGGTAAAAAGGTTCCTAATTAAAATTTTGAATTTTCTCCTTGGTTTTGGCTGCAATGGTGTGAATACATACGTTATTGTAGAAGTTATGTATTAGCCATAAACATAACCATGAATTTATTTTAGTACCTAACTAAAATATTCTTATAATAACTTATATTTTTAATTTTTAGTGTGCATTTTAACTTTTAAGTATATATTATTTTCCTATTTTTTAATTCAAAAAATATGTAACTATAACTAAGTAACGTGTAGAATTTATAATTTATAATAAGTATCAACAAAAAATGATTTTATATTTATTTTTAACTAAAAATTGATAACATTTACAAGAAAACGAAAAAAAATAGATAATTATTACTTAGAAAAGAGTGAATTAGCAAAATAATTAAATTATAAACTTTGACTCGATCATGTTGAATATAAATAATTAACATTTATACATTAATAAAAATGACCATAACTAAAATATATTGTACAAAATTATGCAATTTATTAAATTACTATTTACGTCATTTTTTTTTTCAATTTTTGTTTTTCTGTGATTTCCCGATTTAATTTGATTTCATAGATATAGTAAAGGAATTCCAAAATATCTGAAAATTGATTGATAGCAAATTGCATTATTTTAGTTAATAAACAAAATAATCACTAAATTAAACCTTTTTTAGTCAAAATAGTTATAACGTATTAGATAAACGATAAAACGCATATTATAAGAATATTCCGAATAGATTTTAAAATATATATCCTTTTTTAATCTTCTCGATTCAGATTAATGTAATTTTATATTCAACTGTAACTGCACATTGTACATTTTTGTCATAGAACAATCAAATCAATTCTCAATATTAAAGACAATTCATAAAATATTATATACACATTACCAGAACATTATTTGATATTTTTTTGACAAGTAGACAATATATTAACGTAGTTTGTAATAATAGTATTTTTTTTTTCGTGATGAAACCAAGTCTTGTATTTAATAAAAGAATTTTGTTATACGTTATTTACAATTAAAACGTTATACAAATTTTGCGTTTATCGTTATTTAGAATTAAAACGTTATTCAACTTTTGCGTTTATCGTTATTCAGAATTAAAATTTTATAATTAATTAATTAATTAAATAATTGAAATTAATATATTTTTTTAATGATATACTATATATAACGTTTTGAGTTATGTTTTTTTTGTTGTGTTATTTAATTATTTATGTTTATCGTTTTCCGTTATAATTACATTTACAAATTGCAATCGTTTTTTGTCAAATATAACGTTATAATCATAACGCGTAGTTATTATAACATTTGCAAGCCCTGGATGAAACTATTCACTTTACACATGTATGATACATATTATTATTATATGTAAAAAAATATATTCATAATAGTTTCGCATAATAATTCGTAGTATCTATATTATATTGATGAAATTGCATTTAATATAGATTAAATAAAATACAATTAGTATGCGCATGCACTGTATTCCTGATAAAAAAAAAAAAAATACATACACATTAGCTTATTAATGCAAACAATTTAAGGTCAAATTATTTTTACGTTTTTTATCGATTTCGCCCAATTTATGATTAGGTTAGAAAAAAAAAATGATCTTCATAAAAAAAAAAAAAAATGTTTCTTTGTGTACTTATAGATATTAGATATTATTAGACTTTAATACATTTTTTATTTGTTATCAAAAATTCTAGGTATATAGTAAAGGTTAAGAATAAATATATCAATATTTTCCCTGATATTTTTTTTGCAGCATGTAATAGTAATAACTTTTATGTATTTTTATTGTTGGTATTTCACGTGATATACAAAACAATCACGATGAAAAAAATCAATTTGCCCTTCAAATACGAGTATAATACGTACCTACCTATGGGATATAATAGAAATGATAAATTGCCTATTGGCCAGTTTCATTTTAATACAATCAATATTTGTTCATACGTTATTATATGTACATAGTTTAATATTTCAATAACAACTCGATATCTGAATTATTACGTAAAATGGTAGAATTAAATAAAACGTTTGATTGCATATTTTTGCATACTTTGTTATACTCGATAATAATAATAAAAAAAAGCATATTAGACAAATTTAAGAATAATGATAAATAATTATTAACAGCATATTAAAATACATGCGTGTTTACCCTATACCCATTATTATTACAGTGAACAATCATATGACGAGGTATACTCGACACCAACCGCTGTACAGTCGAGCCAACTCGCCCACTTCTTTTTTTTAAATCCCTCGTTTTTGGATCACTAAAATTCGTAGCCATGCGAATCATTTAACTATTAAAAGATAATAGTACTGTACAACGACATAACCCTTTTTCGCACAATATAGAGGTATCTAGCTGTATCCGTCCGTGCATCACATACTTACACATACACCGTGTTTCAGGTGGCAGAACTCGCTGCGACACAACCTGTCGTTCAACGACTGTTTCATGAAAATTCCCCGGCGACCTAACCAGCCGGGCAAGGGCGCGTACTGGACGCTTCACCCTGACGCCTTGGACATGTTCGAGAACGGATCGTTTCTCCGGCGCCGCAAACGGTTCAAACTTCCGGCCGCCGACCGGGCGCTGTTGGAGGCTACGTTCGGCCGGCCGTCGTCGTCCGCCGCCGCCGCCGCCGCCACTGAATTTGATATCCGCGACTCGCCGCCACTGCGCCCGTTGCCGATCGGATTTCACCGGCCGCCGCCGCCACCGCCGTACCGGAACAACATTACCGTCATGTCGTCGGAAGGGGCGACGTCGCCGGTCGGCACCGAACACTCGTTGTCGCCGTTGTCGATCCACACCGCCATCGGCGGCACCGCGGCGGCCTTCGCGACCGCCACCTCGATGGCCAACCACCTGCACCGGCAGCACAAGCCCAAACCGTTCACCATCGAGAGCATCATCGCCCCGGGCAGACGTAGTCACCCGTCCGACGAACACGACCGCGACGGTGACGAGACGGCGACACCGGACGTCCCGTTGCCGTCGTCGACCCCCACACCGCCCCCGCCGTCCTCGTCGTCGTCCCCTACGCCGCCGTCGCGTGCCGAACGCCCTCACCGCCGGTATCCGCCGCCGGTGAGTCTGCTACCGTCTCAGCCGCATCACCTGCAGGCCGACCACCAGCAGCAGCAGTTCCTCCACAACGCCCACCATCACCACAACGGCGCCGGCAGCAACGGATATGCGGAATTGTACGCGTACTTAATCCAACAGCAGTCTTTCGCCGTGGCCGCAGCGGCCGCTTCCAGCATATTTCCAGGGCCTACCGCGCCTCTGCCACCGTTCCACTACATGCCTCACCATCACGTCACCAACGCCGCTGCCGCTGCCGCCGCCGCCGCTGCCGCTGCCACCGTTTTGCCGCCGTTCCCGCAGCTGGCCAACTTCACGAACCTGCATGACTGCGGTACGGCAAGTGTTATATCTTGACATTATATGCATATATTATAATATATTATTAAAATAATAATCATAATAGTATAGTTTAACGCGGGCGGCGCGGACTTACTTGCGCGACAATCACGGCCGTCGGGATACCGACATTATAACGATCGGATCCGTGTTTATTTCAGACCTTCTATCTGGGGAGGGACGGGGGTATCGTAAATTTCCAAAGGGATACAATAACATAAGAGCAAATAATGGAGGGAAATAAAAGTAAATCTAAATTGTATAGAAAATAATTTTTTTAGTTTTTGTTGCCTATACAACCTATCATAATATTTATTTTATCGAATTGTTAGTTGACGTAGTAAGTCACATTTTTCCTCAATACTACTACCCCTCCCCCCCGGCCACCCTTGAAATAAACACTGGATCGGATAAACCGCGCCGTGAACTTATGAATGATATGTGCATTTTACTCTCAGGTACTCTATACCAGATACTCATTATATGTCTACGTTTGGTAGCCGTTATGGTACCTATACCATTTGATATTTAAGTATGTTACACTGAAATAATGTTACGTGAATGTTTTACCAAAGGCTTTTTGAGCTTTTTCAAACCAATCAATATTATATGTTAACTATATAAGTACGATCAATGCCAGTTTCTAAATAATATGGTTGTATAGAGACATATGCATTTTATGAAAGAATGAAACTAACTGTGCTGACAAGGAATATTCTTTGAGTAATTTATTTGAGTAGGTGACTATTTATACATCTTACCTTGACTTAGGCGTGTAATACACAGGTGGTCTGTCGAGTCAGAAGTGATCAAGACTCGTTTCGCCACTGAATAACATGTTGTATATAGGTACCATTAGTATTATATCTAAAACCTACGAGAAAATAAAAAATTACGATGCGAAATATTTGCTACAATTCAAAAAATGTATTCGCACGTACTCAAAGATATGAAAAATGAAAAAAATGTAGGTACACACATAAGTTATCTCATTTGAAATGATCGATGATATTGCGTATAATATTCATGATTAATTCGTAAACTGCATATTTTTTCACTTTTATATGCACCCATAGATATAGCATTCAGTTATGTTATGTTATGTGTATCATTAATTTAAACATGTATAAGCGTTTTCGGTCAACGATTTTTTTTATTCTTATAGTATTTTTCCTTTATACTTCTTCTAAATGATTCATAACCGTTGAAACCATTGTCCGCGTTATAAACGTGTAACGAGCCCACTATTATGTAATATAGGAATAAGTGTACACAAACGCACACACATATACTCACTTACACAAAATTTTGTGTTATAGTTATTGTTGCGTGTGTTGTACACGTCGTGTAATGCTTCATAAAATATTATGCATTGTTTGGAAAACTAATATTAATATGGTGTGCTTAAATTATGATTACACATTATTGTGTGCATATGAATATATGATGTAGGTACTGATATGTGCATTATACATTTCTATAATACGAATATACTTTATGGTGTTTTGTTTTTTATTTCGTCAGATAGTATTATATCATTTATTTTTATAAAACACGACCATCGTAATAATATACGAAAAAAACACATAATCGTATAAATTTCGTTTTAATATTAGTAAGAGTAGGTGTCGCACACAAAATGATATCTCGTTCTTTAGACACCTTGTTTACGTTTAATTTAATACTTCATAATATTATATTATAAATATGTACTTGTATATTACATTATTACCTACTTAAATGGATATATGCATGGACAAAAGACCCAACAATAGCAAGTAATAATATTTTACCACCGAGTCACCAAGCACTGAGAAATAAAAACTCACATGGGGTCCATATAACCATTGATCAAATAGTAATAGTATAATACTATATAATATATAATAATAGAACCTATTATTTAATCAATGAAATAATATTATACATACACCTGGATATTCAGTCAATTATTGTTGTAATGTTGTAGACATCATGAATTTAAAATTCTATTAATTATATTACGTATTATAATATAATATATAAAAGTTCAATCATTGCTGGAAGTGTTGTTTATAACATTCTACCATTATAATAAGTTATACGATCCTGAATGTCCATCACTCTTATCGATAAAATGAAAGATTTACCTATGCAAATACTTTAATATGCAATGTTAGATGTAACTATAAAATATCTATTAAATTAACGTGACAAAAATAGTAAGTTAATTCATAATTTTTTAATGTTTACATTCTGCAAATTACCTTTATCACAGATTAATTGTTATTGTGAAAACTCATTTAGTGACTCTATATTTTGTGGCTACTTTCTATCATAAAAATTAAATAAATAAGAGTGTAAAATCCAAAAAACCAAGACCTAAAATACATATTTTTTATATTTGTTACCCATTAACTTAAGCGTTTTGAATATCCTGTATAACGTACAAGATTAATAATATTTAAATATTTATTTGATTTACTGGCAAATATTTATTTCTATAAAGATACTGTTGCTTTTAATAATATAATATTTTTAAATATAATTTTGACTTAAAATTATAAAGTATCTGTTTATATAATAAGATGTATAAAAATATATGTTTTAATTGTTTGTATTTCCAGAAACGATTACATTCCCAAAATGAGATAATAGTTATGTGTGTTTTTAACTTTTAAGTTTAAGAAATATATAGGTTGGTACATAAGATTACAGTTTCTCGTATTAGGAATGTGATCATGAGAATAGCAAACACTCTAAATATATATCATAGTATATAGCATATTTTTGATACCAAATTACGATATTATCATATTATTTTCGCTAACTCGACTCAAACGCGGTAAAAAATAATTCTTTTAACCCGTCTCTTCGGTGTTGATAGAATAATATAGCTATAATAGTCGTATACTTATATATAATATGTATAAATTGTGTACTTGTATGTAATTTATATATATATGGGGACCTACTGTTCGTGTTCGATAATATCAACTTTAAGTTCACGTTTCACGCAAAGGCGGTCTATATAACTTACTAGTTCCGTCACTGGGGACAGCAGCAAAGAGGGTACGCAACCCGGTATACAAATTATAAATGACTTCTTATAGGGCGTTGAGTACTTCCAAACTTATTTTCGAGGGCGTTTTCTGAGCTAATATGAGTGATCTGATGTAATAAAAAAAAGACAAGTGGAGTGCAAGAGTGGGTATAAAACGTGTGTATAATATCTATATATTATAAATAGGTACTCACGTATACAAAAAATCCTCCGTGAATTGCGTGACTACAAACTTGATAAAACAATTCAGATCACTTTTTTTATAATCTATTATATTACGTAAGTACTAAATATACATATTACATACATAATTATTATATTATTAGCCCGTTCAAGTTATTAAATTAAATGTTAATATTTATTTATACTTTGTATGATTTTTTTTTAAGTATTGTACTATTTATTAGAAAAATTTGATTATTTCGTAGAAACTGTGCCAAAAAAGTATATTATTTTAATATTCTTAAATTTCACATTAAACATTAAATTTAATTGATAATTATAAAATACTATTTTGTTTGAAATAAATTCAAACATACTCGTATATCTATAATACTGATAATTTAATTGCATACTATTTGGCAACCATCATCATTATTATTATTTTAATATCATTAGATACTGGTCGAATGACTTTTCACATTAAACCAATCACTACTTAGACGTATATATTATAATATATATTAGGTATATTTGCATTTAATAGTAGTGTTGTATTGTGTATAATTTTCCGCGGGTTTTGTCCTCTAGTATCATTATATTAATATTTACTTGCTGGTTTCATTTTCATATTGGAATTAAACAAATATCAATTATATACATGGTACCTAACTATATAATATATCATTATTATATAGGCACCTCTTTATAATATAGGTAGGTAGTAAGAAATTGTAAGAAACATAATAATAATTTATCAAAACGATATTAATAACCGTTTCATATTAATGCATACAATGAGTGGGACTTTCATGTTGCGTTAACTTTTTTCGCATAATGTACACACACTCACACACACATATACTCTCACGCTTGTATATAAATATAATAATTATAAACCTGCTCATGGATAGTGTAAAAAATCAATAAGAAGATTAATTGCCTGTCTATGTTTGCACACGATAGGTCGTTTTTTAAAACACACAACTATAAGACAATATAGCGACTTGTAAATATGTATTAAACATTAAACATACCTAAGTACTTCGCTTATGTTTAATATTATACTATATGATACAGAAAATAATTTAATAAATTTTTGAATAGTAATTATTTGAAGGTCAATTGAAGGATTTATATCTTGCTGTGATTTAATAAATTCCCATATTATATAAACGTAAGTTTAGATATAAACGCATGTATAATATTTACATATAACTTCTTAAAACAAATATAAAAGAGCTATTTTACTTTTAAAAGGTTGTCAGTTATTTTTTTATGTTTTTAAAAAATAAACTTATTATCCAAAATAATTTATAATAAATTGCCGATATAACATGTGTGTATTTATGTAAATGGCACATGCAATTTTTTACTTAAACATCACACATTTAGAATTTTTGGTTTTAAAATCAATTCCAGTGATTTTTTATTTCTTAATTTTTCGATACTCAATAATTTATTCAAATTAAATCAATCTATACAGTTAATCAATATAAATAAAATATAGGTGTAGTTACGTGTGAGTGAATTACCGGTTATCACTAAGTTTATACTTTTTTATTGTTTTATTTTTATTTATATTATTATTATTAATCAACTAAACGCACATATTGTTATCACAGCGTAAAAGGGGTTGAAACTAATAATAATAGAATAAAACGATACTCGAAAGGTGAAAAATGGTGTTTATAGGTTCATCTCCACTTAAGTTCTTATAAGATTAAGATCACTAGATCTAACGTCAGTTTTGTGGTGTAAAGAAAAGCAGATGTTTTATTTAATAATAAAGGTGTCG